TAGTCTAACAATAATATTTATTCTAGAAAAAGTTGTACATAGTTTTCTAGAAAATAAAACGTGACTTTTAATAGATTTCAAAGTTTTAAAATAATATCATAATCTTTTTGAAAGCTTACAGTGGTGTCTAAAAATATGAAGATATCTTTAAATATGAAGATGTGTGAACAAGATTACCATAGATTATATAAAGTGGAAAATGTTGTAAATTTTGGTCTATAATTTGAAGAAAATTAGCGATAAAAAATTCTTGCAAAAAAATTTTACATAAATATCTTAGACGATATTTGAAGAGATTTCCACTAAAATATTATATAGTTTCCTAAAACAGTATAGATAAGTTTATTCAAGCTTTCATAATCACTGTATTCACAATAAACTTACCATGTTGTACAAATGTATGATGTGAAAATTTCAAAAGAAGATGCATGTAAGTGATTATAGACTACAACTAAATACAATGTACACATTTGTTTGTTTTAGTTTTTCTATTAAAACGTACTTACGACTAAAATGAAAACGTGTAAATTGAGAATTATGTTATTTCGCTCTCTTCCTAACTTTAAATGCAGCAGCACAGTATACTTGCAACACCCTTACTTCTGTAGGAAAATAACCAGTCCTATGGATTAGATGCCGCTTGGGGGTGGTAGTAACACACTTTAGATGCCAGTGATTGTACAGTTTTTTCTACACTTCTTTTTTGTTCTATTATCCAAAAATGTTGTTTTAATTTCTAACTAGGTGCTCTTTACAATTCAGCCATGTGCGAGCTGTTCTGAATATGAATATTTAAATAGAGAAAAAAATCCAATCATTTTTTTTTTTTTTTTGGGTTTTTGCATAAAAAGCAGGTGAAATTTTAGTATGAAAGGAAATTGTACGCCTTTATGCCTCTAATGTATGTCACGATTATTTTAATAGAATTTTAAATTATTTCAATGGCCTGAAACAAATTCCAGGTTGAATGGATTTTGGTTAACTTAAAATCTAGAATAAATTTTCACCTTTTTTTGCTAAAAAATGAATTTAAAAATTTATGGAGAAAAAAAGTAAATGAAAAATTTTTATTGTAAAAATATCTTATTCTTTTCAAAGCCAACTTAAACAATATTATTTCTTGCCTTTTGTTCATTTAAAATTAAATATAAACTTTATAAAATGTTTTTTTTTTCTCCTTCTGTTTAACATTAATTTATTTCACTTTTAATACTGTATTTTTTTGTAATTTACGTTCACTTTTTCCCTAAGCTTTTAAGCCTCTTTGACACCCATAATAACCAAGATTTATCAATGACACAGCTGCCCAGTACTTTAACCACATACTTATTTCCAACTGTTATATATACATATCCAATGACCAACCATTATTTTTACCATACCATTGCTACATACATATGTATCTATATATTGGAAAATAAAACTGGATCCATCCGTTTCTTTTGTTATTTTTGATTTAATTGTTGTTTGTGAAGTGTGTCTGTTTGTTGTGAAATCGAAATGAAATTAATAAAAATACTAGAGATAAAAATCCCATTGAGTGATTTGCCAGCTTTAATTGATGTCTATGAAGAAATACATAATTGAATTCTGGAATGTGTTATAGGTTTGTGTTGGGAGTGAAAAATACTTTTGGTTGTTAATAATATCAATGTGACAGTCAACACTTCGATAAATTTGAGAGGAAATTCTTAAGAGTATAACTTTAGATTTTCCCTAGACTTTAACAATATATATTATCCTTGTTTAACAATAAAGAGAAACTATAAAAAACGAAGGCGTGTGACCTAGATTTTGTGAAAAAGAACTGAACTAGAACTGAACTAGAACTGAACTAGAACTGAACTAGAACTGAACTAGAACGGAACTAGAACTGAACTAGAACTGAATTAGAACTGAACTAGAACTGAACTAGAACTGACTAGAACTGAACTAGAACTGACTAGAACTGAACTAGAACTGAACTAGAACTGAACTAGAACTGAACTAGAACTGAACTAGAACTGAACTAGAACTGAACTAGAACTGAACTAGAACTGAACTAGAACTGAACTAGAACTGAACTAGAACTGAACTAGAACTGAACTAGAACTAGAACTGAACTAGAACTGAACTAGAACTGAACTAGAACTGAACTAGAACTGAACTAGAACTGAACTAGAACTGAACTAGAACTGAACTAGAACTGAACTAGAACTGAACTAGAACTGAACTAGAACTGAACTAGAACTAGAACTGAACTAGAACTGAACTAGAACTGAACTAGAACTGAACTAGAACTGAACTAGAACTGAACTAGAACTGAACTAGAACTGAACTAGAACTGAACTAGAACTGAACTAGAACTGAACTAGAACTGAACTAGAACTGAACTGAACTAGAACTGAACTGAACTAGAAACTGAACTAGAACTGAACTAGAACTGAACTAGAACTGAACTAGAACTGAACTAGAACTGAACTAGAACTGAACTAGAACTGAACTAGAACTGAACTAGAACTGAACTAGAACTGAACTAGAACTGAACTAGAACTGAACTAGAACTGAACTAGAACTGAACTAGAACTGAACTAGAACTGAACTAGAACTGAACTAGAACTGAACTAGAACTGAACTAGAACTGAACTAGAACTGAACTAGAACTGAACTAGAACTGAACTAGAACTGAACTAGAACTGAACTAGAACTGAACTAGAACTGAACTAGAACTGAACTAGAACTGAACTAGAACTGAACTAGAACTGAACTAGAACTGAACTAGAACTGAACTAGAACTGAACTAGAACTGAACTAGAACTGAACTAGAACTGAACTAGAACTGAACTAGAACTGAACTAGAACTGAACTAGAACTAGAACTGAACTAGAACTGAACTAGAACTGAACTAGAACTGAACTAGAACTAACTAGAACTGAACTAGAACTGAACTAGAACTGAACTAGAACTGAACTAGAACTGAACTAGAACTGAACTAGAACTGAACTAGAACTGAACTAGAACTGAACTAGAACTGAACTAGAACTGAACTAGAACTGAACTAGAACTGAACTAGAACTGAACTAGAACTGAACTAGAACTGAACTAGAACTGAACTAGAACTGAACTAGAACTGAACTAGAACTGAACTAGAACTGAACTAGAACTGAACTAGAACTGAACTAGAACTGAACTAGAACTGAACTAGAACTGAACTAGAACTGAACTAGAACTGAACTAGAAATGAACTAGAACTGAACTAGAACTGAACTATAAGTGAACTAGAAGTGAACTAGAACTGAACTAGAACTGAACTAGAAGTGAACTAGAAGTGAACTAGAACTGAACTAGAACTGAACTAGAACTGAACTAGAACTGAACTAGAACTGAACTAGAACTGAACTAGAACTGAACTAGAACTGAACTAGAACTGAACTAGAACTGAACTAGAACTGAACTAGAACTGAACTAGAACTGAACTAGAACTGAACTAGAACTGAACTAGAACTGAACTAGAACTGAACTAGAACTGAACTAGAACTGAACTAGAACTGAACTAGAACTGAACTAGAACTGAACTAGAACTGAACTAGAACTGAACTAGAACTGAACTAGAACTGAACTAGAACTGAACTAGAACTGAACTAGAACTGAACTAGAACTGAACTAGAACTGAACTAGAACTGAACTAGAACTGAACTAGAACTGAACTAGAACTGAACTAGAACTGAACTAGAACTGAACTAGAACTGAACTAGAACTGAACTAGAACTGAACTAGAACTGAACTAGAACTGAACTAGAACTGAACTAGAACTGAACTGAACTAGAACTGAACTAGAACAGAACTAGAATTGAACTAGAACTGAACTAGAACTGAACTAGAACTGAACTAGAACTGAACTAGAACTGAACTAGAACTGAACTAGAACTGAACTAGAACTGAACTAGAACTGAACTAGAACTGAACTAGAACTGAACTAGAACTGAACTAGAACTGAACTAGAACTTAACTAGAATTGAACTAGAATTGAACTAGGACTGAACTAGAACTGAACTAGAACTGAACTAGAACTGAACTAGAACTGAACTAGAACTGAACTAGAACTGAACTAGAACTGAACTAGAACTGAACTAGAACTGAACTAGAACTGAACTAGAACTGAACTAGAACTGAACTAGAACTGAACTAGAACTGAACTAGAACTGAACTAGAACTGAACATGAACACAGTACGTTTAAGTAATAAAGAATTACGAAACTTAATATAATTACCAGACCTGGGTAAATGCATTAAATGTGTTAATGCATTAACAATTTTTTGGAATCTTATATAAATATCATATTTAAAGCACACAAGTTTGAATGGAATATAGGAGTTATTAGAAAGGACTTTAACCTATTTAATTTTAGTTGTATTTAGTTAGATCGAGGCCTTTTGTGCTGTATTTTTATTTATGTTTATCAATTTTGATATATATTAATGTTAATGGAATATTAATGCATTAATTTTATTGCTTATTTAATGTTAATGTAAAATTAGTGCACTAAATTTAGATATATTTAATGTTAATGCAAAATTAATGCATTAATTTCAAAAATATTTAATGTTAATGTAAAATTAATGCATTAAATTCAAAAATATTTAATGTTAATGGAAATTTAATGCATTAAATTTTACAAATTTAATGTTAATGCTATATTTTTTAGATTAAATTATTTTTTTTTTTAATTTAATGTTAATGCAATATTAATGGAAATCGCCCAGGTCTGATAATTACACATACTTACGTACCGTATACAGTAATATTCTTAAAATAACACTAATAAAATCTGACATTGAAAAACTTTAATCAAATTTAAAGTCAAATTGAATTACATTTATTTTTTAAAAAAACATACAAATTTAAACATTTTAAACTAAAAATAATTTTTACCAAAATAAATCTTTATCCATACATAATACTTAAGCTTATAAAAACATAATAAAAAATAAAAATGTTTCTTCTTTTTATCTCTTTGCAGGATTTCATTTGTGTAGAAGATTATTAAAAGTGATACATAAATCCACATTTTTTAATGTATATATGTGGTTTGTTTAAAAGGAAAAATAAATAAGAATAAAGCCTTAAGTTAAAATAAAAGCAATAAATTTAAATAAAAATAAAAAGTGCTTTAAAAAATAAAAAAAATATATATTAAAAAGTGAAGGAATATAAGCAAAAAGTTTAGGAATATTTGTGTGTTTTCTTAAAAAAAAACTTAAAACAAACTAAAACCTAAGAAACAAAAATGGGCAAGAAAAATTCAAAATTGAAGCAAGACACCATTGATCGCTTGACAACGGATACATACTGTAAGTATTAACATTTATACAAGTATTTTAATTTTCTTTTATACAGTTTTCTTTTTTAAACATTTTTATAAAACCACTTAAAATTATAAGCGTAAATGTAATAAATTATATAAGAGTTTTCTTTTTATATTTAAAATTTAAAACTTGGCCGTTTATATTTTAGATTTTGTGTTTAATAATACAGAAAAAAAACACCCGAAAACAATGGCAACTACTTATTTGCATTTTGTTAAACCTAAACTGCTCTTCTTTCTTAGAAAAAGAAATGTTAAACCTTGAACTTGATTCTATTTAAAAAAGTTTTAATTTTTTTGTATTTAGTTTTCTTTTGTATTTTTTTGCTTAAAATGATGTGCCAAAATTTTGTGAAAACCATTTAATTGTATGTAAAGTAGTTATTCGAAATAGTCTTCTTTGTGAACATGTGTCTTCTTATAGACTAGACGGCTTTGAAAGAAAGATTTGTTTATTTGTCATTATGACCATGACCATGACCATGACAAATTTGCATTAGAAATATTAAGTTAAAATATTTAAGAAATATTTAAGAAAATGTTTAAAGACATATTATTAAGTGGCATTATCAGTTTTCTTTTGTTTATAATTCAGCATTTTCAGCAGCATGCCCCATAATGGGTTAACATTCGTAAAATAATTTGTGTTGAAAATAATTGTTTACTTTTTCAAACGTATTTTGATTAGCTGCATCTGCCAGTATATTATCCATAAAATTTCAACATATGAAAATAATTTGATTTTTTATATAATCATATAATATTTGCCAACTATGCAATAAAAACATGATAAAAATTTCATACAATTTTATTATAAAATATTTTTTTTTTCACTTATTTTTTCAGCTATTAGCCATACAATAAATATGTGTTATAATGTTGATAATTTGAATGAAAATATTTATTAAAATAAAACTCTATCCATAACAACATTGATTTTCCATGAATGCAATTGTTTACGTATGAGCATTTTTTTAATTGATGATGAATTAAAAATAACTCATACGCCTGTAAAGTATTGCATATTAGATATTTTTTTATTATTAAGCGGTTGTGCTGATGTCTGTAACACCCAAAAATAAACCCACCTTAAATGTACTAATTTGCTCAGCCGATTTAGCTATGTTCTGCGTCGATTTAGTTATGTCCGTCTGTGTGACCTTGTAAAACTTGAACCCTCGCTACAGGTCGCAATTTTCAAGATAATTTGATCAAATTTGGCACATACTCTTCTTTTAACCCAAGGTTAAAATGCTTAAAATCGGTCTATTATTTCACTCCCTTCAACAAAAATTAACAAAACTTAGCTTTATATAAGTCCAATTTTCATAATGATCCGACCTCACTTGATCCTAGCCCATATACACATTTTCATTCAGAAAATTACTTGAAGACCAATGTTCACTTACAAACAAATATCACGTTGAAACTCTTCATAGAAAATGGTTAGTTAGTTGGTCAGTTAGTTAGTTAGTTAGTTAGTTAGTTAGTTAGTTAGTTAGTTAGTTAGTTAGTTAGTTAGTTAGTTAGTTAGTTAGTTAGTTAGTTAGTTAGTTAGTTAGTTAGTTAGTTAGTTAGTTAGTTAGTAGTTAGTTAGTTAGTAGTTAGTTAGTTAGTTAGTAGTTAGTAGTTAGTTAGTTAGTTAGTTAGTTAGTTAGTTAGTTAGTTAGTTAGTTAGTTAGTTAGTTAGTTAGTTAGTTAGTTAGTTAGTTAGTTAGTTAGTTAGTTAGTTAGTTAGTTAGTTAGTTAGTTAGTTAGTTAGTTAGTTAGTTAGTTAGTAGTTAGTTAGTTAGTTAGTTAGTTAGTTAGTTAGTTAGTTAGTTAGTTAGTTAGTTAGTTAGTTAGTTAGTTAGTTAGTTAGTTAGTTAGTTAGTTAGTTAGTTAGTTAGTTAGTTAGTTAGTTAGTTAGTTAGTTAGTTAGTTAGTTAGTTAGTTAGTTAGTTAGTTAGTTAGTTAGTTAGTTAGTTAGTTAGTTAGTTAGTTAGTTAGTAGTTAGTTAGTTAGTTAGTTAGTTAGTTAGTTAGTTAGTTAGTTAGTTAGTTAGTTAGTTAGTTAGTTAGTTAGTTAGTTAGTTAGTTAGTAGTTAGTTAGTTAGTTAGTTAGTTAGTTAGTTAGTTAGTTAGTTAGTTAGTTAGTTAGTTAGTTAGTAGTTAGTTAGTTAGTTAGTTAGTTAGTTAGTTAGTTAGTTAGTTAGTTAGTTAGTTAGTTAGTTAGTTAGTTAGTTAGTTAGTTAGTTAGTTAGTTAGTTAGTAGTTAGTTAGTTAGTTAGTTAGTTAGTTAGTTAGTTAGTTAGTTAGTTAGTTAGTTAGTTAGTTAGTTAGTTAGTTAGTTAGTTAGTTAGTTAGTTAGTTAGTTAGTTAGTAGTTAGTTAGTTAGTTAGTAGTTAGTTAGTTAGTTAGTTAGTTAGTTAGTTAGTTAGTTAGTTAGTTAGTTAGTTAGTTAGTTAGTTAGTTAGTTAGTTAGTTAGTAGTTAGTTAGTTAGTTAGTTAGTTAGTTAGTTAGTTAGTTAGTTAGTTAGTTAGTTAGTTAGTTAGTTAGTTAGTTAGTTAGTTAGTTAGTAGTTAGTTAGTTAGTTAGTTAGTTAGTTAGTTAGTTAGTTAGTTAGTTAGTTAGTTAGTAGTTAGTTAGTTAGTTAGTTAGTTAGTTAGTTAGTTAGTTAGTTAGTTAGTTAGTTAGTTAGTTAGTTAGTTAGTTAGTTAGTTAGTAGTTAGTTAGTTAGTTAGTTAGTTAGTTAGTTAGTTAGTTAGTTAGTTAGTTAGTTAGTTAGTTAGTTAGTTAGTTAGTTAGTTAGTTAGTTAGTTAGTTAGTTAGTTAGTTAGTTAGTTAGTTAGTTAGTTAGTAGTTAGTTAGTTAGTTAGTTAGTTAGTTAGTTAGTTAGTTAGTTAGTTAGTTAGTTAGTTAGTTAGTTAGTTAGTTAGTTAGTTAGTTAGTTAGTTAGTTAGTTAGTTAGTTAGTTAGTTAGTTAGTTAGTTAGTTAGTTAGTTAGTTAGTTAGTTAGTTAGTAGTTAGTTAGTTAGTTAGTTAGTTAGTTAGTTAGTTAGTTAGTAGTTAGTTAGTTAGTTAGTTAGTTAGTTAGTTAGTTAGTTAGTTAGTTAGTTAGTTAGTTAGTTAGTTAGTTAGTTAGTTAGTTAGTTAGTTAGTTAGTTAGTTAGTTAGTTAGTTAGTTAGTTAGTAGTTAGTTAGTTAGTTAGTTAGTTAGTTAGTTAGTTAGTTAGTTAGTAGTTAGTTAGTTAGTTAGTTAGTTAGTTAGTTAGTAGTTAGTTAGTTAGTTAGTTAGTTAGTTAGTTAGTTAGTTAGTTAGTTAGTAGTTAGTTAGTTAGTTAGTTAGTTAGTAGTTAGTTAGTTAGTTAGTTAGTTAGTTAGTTAGTTATGATTTATGTTAATTTTTCGTTTTTTTTTTCTTTTTTAATTAAATTTCTAGATCTGTCCGTCATTCTCTAAATATAGTTACATGAGTTGCAAAATTTAGAAAGTTCTGTTAAAAAAAGGAAAAAAAATAATGCTAAAAATACTACTAAGCTTTTAAACAAAAAAGTAACACTTGTCCACGTAGTAAAGCAGTGCAAAAATGGTAAAAACATTTCTGCTCGAACATAATTATTTCTAGGATTTCCTTAATTAATTAAATCATTTCTATTACTTTTAAACATCCTTCAGTCTCTCGTAATGCTTTATGGAAAAGTAATGAACATTTCCTTTTATTTTTTACTTTTATTCTTTCTTATTTACAATGTAACGCTTAACATTATCTGTCTGTTTCTCTTGTCTATGTAAAACGATTTTATGTCAAGCTGCTTTGTAAAATCAAATGCAAAGTTAGTTTTTTTCTTGCCATTCTATATTCAACTTTCAATTCATTCTTTAGTAATAAGACCTCTTTATTTCTTTTATTCACTTGTCATTTAGACAGTAGAACAATGCCTCTTGGTTTTATACATTATTATTTTTCAAAATCTAACAAAAACAAGATATTGCTTCAATTTACTTGTAGTCGTCCAAATAAAGCCAAACGATACTGTCTGTCATTTGCATAATATGGGGAAAAATATGCAAATATATTTTTGTTAGATGCCTTTGTTAAGAAATTGTTATCATTTTATGCTTTTGCTCTCTAAAGGCCAAAGAGATTTAAATGAAAAGACATTTTTTAAAATTAAGCCTCGGGTCAGAGACATTAAATTGACCATTGGTTTGTTAGGGACCAACTAAGTAAGCAGCTTTTTTTATGAAAATCATAAGGATCTACTTAGAGTTTTTAATAAATTGAAAAGCTGATTTTTTTGGAAATTGTTAAAAATAGAATTGAATAAATGTAAATATGCTATTGAATTTGAGTAACTTTTGTACACAAAGGTTATTGTGCACAAAAATGTTTAAAACATTTAACCCAAAATGTCATTTACATTTATTGGTCATCATGCAAAACCTGTCTTTAATTACATTGTATGGTATTTGTGTCTGTATTTGAATTTGTATTTATTTAATATACATTTGTATCATCCATTGCCATTGGTTTTGTTTTGTATAAATTCTTCTAAAATATTCATGTACTTTTATGGACATTTAAACTTTACATTCATATATTTCACCAAAAAATTTACTCATATAAATTTGCGGTTATTTTTCGCGTGTCCCTTTTGACACCACGAAATTAGTGTTGGCGTTATTTTGCCAACAAACAAACTGTAGTTAGTTTTATTTGTGTTTTTTCTATATATTTTCAATATTATTTTGGCATATACTGGTGTATGTATTTGTTAGTGTCATTATCATAAATTTTTTAAAATGCAGTTTTCAGTTTTTTTGACAACTGTCGCAGCGGAAGTTGTGGTTTCATTTTGTTTAACTGTTAAAATGTATAAATTATAGAAATTTTGATAATGTTGGTTTTGGTTGGTGGAGGAGTAGAAGGAGGAAGGAAGTAAAACATATTACGGAAATCATTATTTTGGGAGTGACAGACAGGTTTTTAATGTGTGTGTTTGT